TGAGGGATAGGAGAGTTGGATCCCTTGCCCTCGATTGCTCAGAGCAACAGATTGGGTAAGGGCGCCCATCGTTGCTTGACCATGGCGCTTGGAGGATTTGATGCTTGGATTACAGATCCCACAGGTTATTGTCCAACTACCAAGGGAGTTAGGCAAATTGCTCGGGAGCTCTTAACTAAAGACATTAAGCAACATTTGTTTGGGGATGACCCTGTGCTCAAGGAGCTTGCTGATGCGTGTGATCGGTTGGAGGTCTCTATGGATAGAATGGCTCAATGGGGGGTTGAATCTGCCATAGTTGAGCGGGAGCTTGGAGAGGAATCTGGTCAGGCGCGAGAGGTAGAAGACGGTTACGAATTTGGTCTGGCCCAGGATGAGAGATTTGGACATTCTTGGAAGCCCTGTTGTACCGGGCCGAATTGGATTTGGATACCCAAGGGCTGTGTGGACCTGAGCAAAGGCTATCTTGCCCCTTTGGAAGACATCCGTAGATGCGGCCACTCTGCTTGTAGGGTTAAGGTTCTTCTTGATCTTCCTCCATTGTCCAAATCCTTCGCATGCGTCGTGTCAGAAGGGGAGATGGTGAACCGAGATCAGCCATGGCCAGTGGGGAAACACCGGCAAGAGGAGTGGATGGATGAAGATGACCTATTGAGCGGAGATCTATACCAGGAACAAGATCTGAGGCGGCAGTTGCAACGGGGGAATCGGTTCCAAGGGGATCCAGATCGCCTAGGCTACAAAGGGAGAAGAACTAAGGGCTATGGCGGCTGTGGTGTGGAACCAGGTGACAGGGAGAGTGAAAGAGGTGCGGGCAACAAAGCCTACAACCAAGGGAGGTTGGAGGCTAGCCGCAGTTACAATCAGCAAAGAGGTTGGCATCAAATCAACAAGGAAGCTCTTCTCAGCAAGGGAATTGGAACCGCATGAGCGTCGTCAGGGACAATAGAGTTGGAGAGAAAGTGCTTGGGACAAGGGAGTTGCCGTCACCAATGAAGGTATGAAATCCAATATGCCTGATCTCAAGTGGTTTCGTTGCTTAGGCTTGGGTCATCATCAGTATGAGTGCACAAACGAGCTAGTTTGTTACAAACGTAAAGATAAAGGTCATATGGCTGTTGACTGCAAATTTGCTAGTAAAAAGCTGATGATGTATGGATTTGGTATTCCGGGGCAAGGTTTTTATGCTTTTGATTTACCTGAGGCAAAGGGTAAAATTAATCGAGCCACCATATTGATTACTATCTTGGAAGGTGAAGCCAATGGAGCGTAAATTGGATCGAGAAATGAAACATCTTGTGAAAGCTACATGGGACTTCAATGTTAGAAAATTTGATAAACAGGAATACATTGTGGTGTGTTCCTAACCATGCTTCTTTGGACACCTTGACTAAGCTCTCATGTTTTGAGATGTCTCTATATGGGTTAAAAGGTAAACTGGAGAAATCTTCTCTAGATCTTACAGCTTCTTCTATGCTGCACACTGTTTGGATCAAGATCCATAATGTTCCTGGGATTGTCAGAGAAGTTGAAATTGCAAAGGAGTTGGTTACTCTTGTTGTGGAACCTTTGGTGGTAGATGAGTTGAGCCTAATAAGAAATGATCCTCTGAGAGTTCAAGGGAGATACAGGAACCCTGCTGCCATAAGAGGGTATATTGATTTCTTCTTTAATGGAGTAGGCTGTAATCTCAAATTTGAAGCTGCAGGTCACCAAGGTTTCGGCAAAGGGGTGAAGGGTGGTCCTCTAGGTCCTGGTCCTAGGAAGCCTGATGACTCTCAAAACAGGGACAAGGATGATAATAAAAAAGGGGGACAAATCTAAAAGGAGCAGTGAGAAATTTGATAGGTTTGGCAAGATATAGATAAGGAAATGGATTCTAGCCATGATGGCTCAATGTAGGAGGGGCTGAGAGACAGTGGTACACACCAGATGTTGGGAGGTGATTGCTCTCTGGCTAGTCCAATAGCTGCCTTCCATCCCACCAAAGGGCTGCTTACCATGAGTCAAATCATTGTGGAAGGTGTTAAAGTGGTGGAAACTATAACCCATGATGTTCCTCAGAATGATTACCATGATATCAGCAACCTTATGAATCAAACTGAGGAGGACAAGCAAGTTGATGGGAAATCAAAAGGGATTCCTACCAAAGAGAGTGAAAGGCTAGTGCCAAATGAGAACCAGATTATTGTCCATGGAGCTCATGGGAAGCATCTAATGGATAAATGCAAGTGACCTTCTCTATCTCTGCCAACTGAAGTTCAGGAAAATGAAGCTCTTGGTGTGTTGACCCAAGAAGAGTCTTTGTTTTCCCTAGAATTTACCCAAGGAGGAGGGTCTTCCGGGGATCTGTCCAGAACACACCAGAGTAATTTTGGATTGTTTGGTCAGGGGGTTGGAGTCTTCTGCAGTGAATACCCAAGAAGAAGAAGACCTAATGGATAACATCTCTGTCCTAAGCAGAAATTCTTATATGGATGAAGGGGAGCAAGGGTGGCAGTAAGAAATATCTGAAATCCATTTCTTTCATGCACCAATAAATTCACGAATAAGTTCCTCCGTATCGCCATACCATCCTGTACACAGGTTCAAGTATATATATGTAAATATTATTACCTATCACACGGGTAATACTGCGTGTCTTATTGAGGTCAGCACGTCCGAACATCTCGCCCAAAGAGTCTAGCATCTGGACCTCACGTTTGTTAGCGTTTATAACATCAAGGTGCCAGTGTAAACCGGTAACATTTATTGGAAGGAGCACCTATCAAATCAAATAATAAACATTTTGTCGAGCATAAAAATTTAATAATCAAAGAACAATACATCATTTAAAAAAATTGCTACCATGTCATGGTCCAAGTAAGCTAGCACCCTTTGACCTAACCTAGGACGCCGGAAAGTGCCACAGTTAGGGTAATTGGCTTCAATTGTTTCATCCTTTTCCCCATCCGCGTTATGAGTGTAGTTATGCGTTATGCACGCACTTTCAAGATAGACCATACCTCCTGGCCTCTTTATCAAACCCTCCTGAGCTTTCAGCAGCTTATATATAAGCATATATGATCTGCATACATTGAGCCATTAGAAAGAAAGGACATTGAAGTTGCCTACGTTTGATTGAGTACTATGACTTGCATCTATCACCTCGTCACACAAGAATTCATATGGCTCAAGAAGACTGTAACACCGTCGGTGTTATACCATAAATTATTTACTAAAATATGTCATGAGCATCATGTTTATGTGTTAATGTATGTGATAAAGTGTGTAGATTAATTTATGTAACTCAAAACAATCAACTAGAATGCGAAACGAAAGTTGATTCGATAGACATGTTATATCACTTAGGGTTTAAAACCAATTTTTATTAAGCAAAGATGCTATTGAACATGTATGTGGTACTTAAATAAAGTTTGAAGTACAAAATTTGTAGATGACAATGAAATACTTGCGGTCGAAAAATGATATTACTAGCTAATATTTCCACTAGCTTAGAAATCGCAAATAGAAATCAAATTCAGCTCAAAAACTTAGAAATTTTCAAGTCTGCCGATTGTTCGACATTGCTATGTTTATCAATTTATTGTGAGAGGTTGGGTTAAGTAGTGGTATAGTGTTATAGCTCATTTTGGTAGTCTCATTGTTGACACCAATTTTGGCATACCCAAAAATGTGTGAAAACATTTATACCATATTATATAAAATGGTATAGATGATTAAGTTTTATATGAATATGATATAGGCAGATAAGGAATAATATAACATCGCTAAAGAGAAAAAGAAGGTGGAGCAAAAAGAAAAAGGGGACACACATGTACATATATGCATGAGCGTGTTCACGTCTGGAAAGAAAATAAAACTAATGTGTGTATATATATATATATATATATATATATATATATATATATATATATATATATATATATATATATATATATATATATATATATGAGGTTGGCTATGAAATATAGTGCACACAAATATGCACGATGAGTGAAGGTGTATACCTATATAGAGTTCTGAATTCTAAAGGGCGTTGACAGCATAATCTATCATATAAGTGACGTGGTGATTATTATAAAGGAGAAAGAAAAAGATAATGACTTATGCAAATGTATATGCACGTACGAAACAAGTCTGACCATGGATACTCTCATACGGCGCTGCGGGAGTAAATAAGTATTATCACATGTCCTATAAATACACCCGTCCGTAAATGCAAACACATTTTGCACACGCACGGATTAAAGTATGATCCTGCAACGTATAGTATAGTGGTGTATATATACTACCTAGCTTGTAGCGCTACATATGCCGGCCAGGAGATAAACCTCCCCATTTTCCTTTATTAAATTAATTACTTCGATCTAAAGATAAAGTGGCCCACAAGCCATAGAGAGGGAGCAGACCAAGTCCAAGTCCAAAGACGTTCAAACTTCCACGAACTCCACATCCGGAAAGAGTCCCGCAGTCGCGCACCAGGGTCATTAGAAAATACGGAGTACTAAATTAAACTCGAGCGCTGGCGACCACTCCCGCCGCTTTAGACCTTGATGTGATTTCAAATCAAAAGAACCGCTGGTTGCTCGGCTCTATAAATATCAGGCTAGCGCAAGCGTTCAGCCCCCTGGCTCTCTAATCCACAGTGCCGTTAGGCTCCCCACCCATACACACACTAGTATAATACCCATGCTAACGTAACGGATTTATCTTGGAGACGCATATGAAAACACCAATGTTTTTTTTCCATAGTTCACGGTGAGCCGCATCGACGCCCCTCCGTGATGATCCACACCTGCAACGTGCTGGGCGCAAGAAGCGGCACGCGTACCTCTCGCCGAGATGGAGCCGTAGGGGCCAAGGTGTCTGGGTTCGAAAAGATGAACGTCGCGGCTAGGGACGCGAGGTTGAGGAGGTCGGCGATCTGTTCTGTGCCGTAGCTAGGAGCGGTCGCGTCGCTTCTCGCCCGGGGGTGCCGCGGCCTCGATGGGGCGTCGATGCAGCTCTTGCGTCGGGCGTCGCTAGGGCAGGGGGCTCCCGAACGGGGCGTCGCGGAGCCGCAGCTCCGACTCCGTCAGGCGCCTCGTCGCCGAAGAAGGGTTGCACGGCAACCAGGTGCGCGCCACCCCTTCGGTGACGCGTCTAGAAAAAATAAATCATAAAGCTAAAAAATAAATCACCCGATGAAAGGAACACAAATTCACAAACTAACGAAACAAAAAAAAACACTTGATTTTCACACATCATCCCCTGTACACAATGACAAATACTTAAACCTAGATAGCTGAATTGCAGGAAGCTGCAGGAATGACAAATACCACGATAATTCATATGTGAACATGGGATCTTCGTGGGTATTTGCAAAATCGAGATGCTCGTGGTCAGACTTGGTGTGTGCTCTTCATGATGTTTGCAAAATCGAGATACTCGTCACCAGACTTGCAAAATCGAGATGCTTGTCATCCGCATATGATGATGGAGATCCTAGCATGACCATCGGAGGAAACGTGTAAGTATTTGGCACCAACTTGATTTTCATCAGACAATGATATTGACATTTTCTCGGTCAGTTCAACGGACATGGCTGAGCCCCACATAAACAATGCTACAAGCTAACAGTAATTCAACAATCCATATACATGGAAACTAACCTTGCCAAAAACCATATGTAGTATAGGAGGCATTGGTGGTACTCATGTGGTGACTTCAAAGCCATAGAAGCTGCCGACTGGGTCTCTAAATGCACGTGTCTACAAACCATCATCTGTAACCCCTGAAACAAAACTCCCACATCAGTACGTTTCGAGCAAACTCCCACAGATGAGCAACTTGCCTAGCTCTCCACCTTTGTAGAACTAAATGAGCTAGCAAAATTTGATGCTGGAAAACAATCATCACCAACCCTTAACCAGCACTTCGTGCTCATGTCGAAAAAATAAAGCATGGTTGCTATGAAGGACGACTAAGGGAAAACAACATCTTGAGAATTTAGCAGATATTACCTTTACTGCACCTGTCGACAAGGCAAAGATAACTACTAAGCACCAACCATTTCAGCAAACACCTTATGCAGCAAAGTTCAGAATAGCCATCTCAGGTTGTAAGTGAGAACTAAAGACCGGATGAACAAATAATTATCAGCATGATTGGCCGATGACTCATCTGGAGATGCAACCAAAGAAAAAGAAGCCAATGAGGCATATGAAGCCAATGACTTCTTCTCGGCTTTGGCCACGCCATCAGCATCTTTGGAAATACAGGTTGGATAATCTGCAATTTGATTAGTATTTCAGTTTATGCTGATGGATGGAAATCAATTCAGAAATCACTGGCCAACAAAAAAAATGATTGATCAACTAACTAAATAGTATATTGCCCGTTAGTAAAAGTTAATTAACAGAATAAATCAGGAGATACGTATGTCTGCAGTACATTATTCAACACTAACTTACTGCTAGCACAGTGCATTCTGCTATTTTAAAATAACACCACTGTTCTTCTAAAACAGCCAAATTACATTGCAGAAAAAATAATTGCATCCGGTTTTTATCAATGGAACAGGGAAGACATGAGAAGCATGTAACATCAGGAGGAATTCAACAAAAACAAATCATAGAAAAAATAGACAACAAAATTATGAGGCACAACAAAGGAAAAAAGGTTAATTTCGTGAGCCAAGAGATTACATAAAGATAAAACCTTTTTTATTTTCCTTTTGGCAAGACATATCTTCCAGTCATCAATTAAGTTAAAGAGAGTGCCAAGAATTAACAGTCTGGCCCCCAAGTCCGTGTGAGTTTGCAATATGCATTTCCATTCTTGATTTTGCACAACCATACTAATCAAATGTATAGACAAACTGCTACCAATTGGAATCTATGATTTATATGAAATGTAGGCAAATCCCGCCGCAGCAAAACTGCAACTTGCCTGACTTCTCTAGCTATATAATGAGCATTCTCAACAACTTTTAGACTACAACAATCTAGGAAAACAGATAAACCCAATCTGGAACAGACGAGGATACAAAAAGCTGGTACCTCCAAGTCGACTAAAAGGGGAACAGGCAACAAATTAGCCTCGCTATCACTACCACTGTACCGCTTTCAAGGGACCACACTGGAGAACATTCGAGGTATGCAGGCAAGCAGTAAAGGTAAAGGTAACACATCCATTCCAACATTGGAGCCGTGACAACCAATTAGGTTGTAACCTACCACCAATTCCTGTAACAACTGACGAGGCGATGAACAGAGCTCATACAAAGTCCCCGTCAGTTGCCTTTTTCTGACATTTTGTCACTCGTCTTGCAAGGACACGCAGTGAAACAACTGAGTCTTACACGACACGGCACCAGAGTCAGAGAATCCACAAGAACACGAAAACGGCATCGACGCAATCCGCACAGGCAGGGATAGAGCACCTGAGGTTCCGAATCGTGGCGGACGACGCGTCCCCGGCATTGCGCCTGATCTCGCACCACGCGACCTCCTCCCCACCGCCGCCGCAGGCCGGCGGCGCGACGAGGAGCAGACCACGGAGCTCTGTGGTGCCAGCTGTGGCGCCGAATTGGTAGGAGTCGAATCCGTCAAACATGGAGAGGCAGACGTGGGAGAGGAGCGCGTAGCGGCAGTGGCCGGCCTTGGAGTAGGAGACACCAGGGTAGGCAGCCTCTACAGCCGCGGCCAGGTCCCACCCAGCGCACCGGAGGACCTTGGCAAGCGCGCGGGCAAATCGGTGGGCGACGCGGAGCGCGTCGCGGAGGACAGAGTCGAAGACGCCCGCGGACAGCATCGCGCCGACGGCGTCGCCGCCCGGCGGAGGCGCGAGCGCGCGGTCGAGGCGGCCCGCGAGCCACGCGTTGCCGTCGTCGACCGCCTCGAGGTCCAGCCGCAGCGCGATAGCCGCGGCGTCCTTGGCGTCGAGGGCCGCCTGTAGGCGGTTCACCACAGCGTCGAAGGACCGCAGCAGCGCCTGGTTCTCGCACACCTGGGCCTCGAGGTGCGCCGTGAGCGTCCCATCCCCGTCCCCGTCCGGCGAGGGCGGGTCCGCCGGCCCGCCCCTCGCGATCCACTTGAGCTCCGACAGCCGCCGGAGGTGCGAGACCGCGGCGGTGTCCGCGGCCACCGCCGCATCGGGCAGGAACGGCGCGTGGGCGGCCTGCAGGTGCAGGTACGCCGCCTGGAACGACGAGGCCGTCGCGAGCGCCGCAGCAACGGCGGCCTCCTGCCCGGACGCCGCCTTCCCCTCCCCATCCGCGCTAGGGTTAGGGTTCAGCAGCGGGTCAGCCTTCAGCACGACCACCCGCTGCCCGGCAAGGACCCCATCCGCCCCCGGCGCCGGCGAGCGCGCGAATCAGTCGGCGTCCTCGTCCTCCTCCTCCTCGGCGAAGAACTCGATGGTCTTGGTCTTGAACGCGAGCGCGAACTTGTGGAGCATGGCTACGCCCACCGCTGCGCGCTCGGCGCGCTCTCTGTCTCCGCCGCCGAGCGGGGCGGGGTGTCGGCGACGCGAATTGCGGGAGTGCGGGGTGTTGGCGTACAATGAGGAGATTTGATATGTTCAATCCAGCCCCTCGACTGTGTAATGAGTAACGAGAGAGAAGGCTTAGAGTGCATCTGGATGGTTTGTTTGAAATGTGTTGTTTTCGTGGGTACACTTTTAGGGGTGGATTTAGAGGGAACATCTCAGTGGGGGATCGTTTTCTTGTGTAGATGTAGAAAAGAAAAGATGATGTATTAGTAGGGTAGATAGATACACTCTCATAGCAAACACCTGCCAACTTCCCATCTCAAACACAGCACCGTCTGGCTGCCTTCCCGCATCGTCGAAGCACACACCGGAGGCCCCTCTCCGGACCAGCCGGCGGAAGCAGCTACGCTCGTTCGTCGGTGCTCGGAACAAGGTGGGAACCCCAATTCTTTTCAGGCTCTCAATCCGATCTTCAGAGACGAATCAAGGAGCCCCGCTCCTATCTCTCTACCTCTCTTTTGATCTGCGACAACTTCATCGACAAGTTTCTTGTCCTCCTCCATTCTGGTAAATAGGGCCAGTGAGGGTGGTGCCCCATACATGGACGTCATGTCTTGGTAAAAGGTAAAAAGAGCTGGTAACGGCCGGCTGCGCTGCACGCATGGGCTACACGCCCTGGTTAAAAGATGAATGCATTGTGCAAAGGAGTCTCATGCCCTGGTAAAGAATCGGTCAGCAGCACCAAGATTGCGCGATGCGCGTGGGTCTCGTGCCCCGCTAAAGATGTAAAAGGCCAGCAGATGTGCCTCGTTGAAATTTGGGAGCAGACACATTTTGGCTCTGCCTGATTCATGGTGAAATTGATATAGACACGATTTGGCTCCATACTCAAATAAATCTGCATATATTTTGGCCACGGCCCCGCCGGCCTATTTTCAGTGCATTAAAGAGAATAAATAAAGTGCATGCTACGGCCATAAAGAAAGTTCGTGCACTAGTTTATATTAAGTTGAAGAAATAACCATCTGTGCATTAGAAATTATGCCAAAAGAAAAGATAGTCATGTACTGCATGTAGAAATATTTAGTCCATGCATATGCAATACGTCGGGAATACTCATAGCTTCTAGGCATCTTCCGGCACAAAACCAATCGCCATTTCAATGTTAAATAGTTAAATATTTTTTAAGGTAAGAAAGATCAAATGCATTACACGGTTCATCTCCAAACACACCATTTTGCAACTAAAGGATTTTATTCTAAAATACTGCATGGCTAGCACCTACTTGCACGCCCTAAGTAATAAAGTATCCCAATATGCTCTGCCCGACATGCATACGTGCTGTTGTTTGCCTAGGCAACTGCACAAAGAGAATATGATGCCAAGTTAGTGGTCGCATTCAAATTAAAGTAAATTGCATAATATATGCTAATCCATGGCCAAATACCATGCTATGAGTATACACGTTAACTCTGATAAAATAAGTTAACTACATACGTCACGGTCTAGTCTGGTGATGCCACATATCTTTCTAAGCCATGGCAAAATAAAAGTATTGGCTTAGCCCCAAATAAAATATTATATCATATATGTCGAAGCATCCCAATCCATAATCTTGCATGATATAATGAATCACCTGCATATATATATGTATATGTGTGTGTATATATATAAGACGTAACTAGGTCATGGCCTAAATAAATAGCACGATATTCATAAAAGCTTTGCATAAACTAGATACATGCACATGGTGGTCTCCTAAAAAACCCAAATAAGCTATCGGTCATTCGTATTTACAAAGAGTGTGCGTTAGTTTGCCAAGAAATGAACTCATGTCATGTTGAAAAGAAATGTCACTTATGCCCCAGATAGGCCCTCTAAATGCTATGCATCACGGCTAACTTAAATCTAGCTCTTTAGCTAGACTGCACTCATATAAGGTTATGTCTAGCTGTAACGAACCAAATCAAATCAAATTAAATAGCATAGTGCATGTGAACCCTTGGTTAAATACCATGTCATGAGCATGTACGCCAACTTTGATAAAACAAATCAACTCCATGCGTCGCGTCTAGGTTTGGCTCAACAACATATCTTCCTAAACCTTGACAAGTGCCCATATAAAATATCGCACCATATGTCGAGTGCATCCACATATATCAAAAACATGTCGATCCAGAATTTTGCATGGCCTGATGAGACTATGTCAAACCTAGTCTTCAAAGTAAACCACGTGCATACACGATATGATGCACTATTCATCCAAGAAATGACCATCGCCAAATGCAAAACATACTCATGCATCCATCCAAGACTACAAGACTGAAGACTTTGTTTTCTTTTTGTAGTTTGTAATAGGAAGTCATATGATGTAATCTTATTTTTCATGCACTCATGTTGGAACTCTTAATCAGGGGTGTTCTCTATGGAGATGTAATTAACATAATTTTTATGCAAATATAAGAATTATGGAAGTATGGACTTGCAATACCTGTTCTTTTTCTTTTGTCCCAATTAAATTTAACCAAAATCAAATTTGTCTCTGCTGACGTGGAGGCGGGTCATAGCCGCTCGTTTCCCCCGCCATCACTCATGTGCCATCTTAAGCATGGTGAAGACGGTTTAGGTTTAGGAGCAATCGTTTGGTCGTGTTGAACGCTTTAAAATTCGTGTGTGTCACTGTCTCGGGTTGGTTGGCGCCGGGTGCGCGGTCACTGCGCGGCCTTCCCATGCTGCGCACATGGCCGCATCCCGCGTTGTCAGCCGTGTCGCCACGCTTGGCTGGTCGAGCCGCCTG